ACGTACAGTAATTCCTGATTCGACCTTGAGTTTGACCATGCGGCACTTTCACACACTCAACCACATGGAGGGTGAGTCAACTGTTCAGTCCACAACCACACCCACTTTAATGGACAATATAGTACAGTGACCCCTCGTTTAACGAACACCTCGGTTAACGTAATTTCGATTAACGAACTGCCTTCCATAAGGATCTTCAATTCGTTTAACGAAAAAAATTTCGCTTAACGAACTTCTTACGAACCGACCTCAACATGTTTTCGCTTGCACTGACCGGGCAACCAGCTTTAGTATCAGTCCGCCAATACATTAATCGGTTCTAGGGCTTAAATTCCTTACTATTTTTGTAAATATCAAGAAGTTTATACTATTCAATAATTTTAAAAGTTTAATATTCAATTTTTTAGTCATTTTAACAATTATTGAACATAATTGAAGGTAAAGTGACTAGTTTAATGCGCGGCATCCAGCCTCTTAACACAGCAAACAGGCGTCAGTCTCTCTCTGTTTTCACTGGAGGTAACATCTTGCTTGAGACTCTCTTCAACTAAACGCTTTTTTTCTGTGTTTCCAAGCAAATTATTGGTCATTTTGAAAATTATTTTACATATTGACAATATATAGTGCAGTGCAGTGTTACTTTAAAGAAAATATTCTTTATTTACAGCTAGTTTAACTTTGAAAAATACGTGTTGCCATTGTTTGAATCCAGCATGGGGCCTAAGAGATCAAGAAAAGTGATTTCAATCCAAATAAAGCAGGAAATAATAAAAAAACACGAACAAGGTATTAAATCAAATGCGCTATGCAAAGAATATGGCATGTCGGCATCAACTGTGTCGACAATTCTTGCACAAAAAGACAAATTTAAGGAAGTGAACGTGAGAGACAAATCTACAAGAGTGTTTAAAAGTAGATCCCTAATCGTAGAAACTGAGAGGTTACTTATCATCTGGATTAGGGAAAAACAGATGAAAGGTGATTCAGTTTCTGGTGATTTCATTTGTGAAAGAGCCAGGGAGATTTATGAACATTTAAAGACAGATCAACCTGGTTCTTCAGGAACAGAATTTGAAGATTTTCGGGCTAGCAAAGGCTGGTTCGAAAAATTTAAGAAAAGAAGTGACATTTTAAGTGTTGTTAGGCATGGTGAAGCTGCTAGTGCTGATAAAGAAGGGGCAGCAAAGTTTTTAATTGAATTTAAAAAACTGATGGAAGAAGAAAATTATCTTCCACAGCAAGTGTTCAATGTTGACGAAACTGGGCTGTTCTGGAAAAAGATGCCCAAAAGAACATTCATCACCAAGGATGAAGCCTCTTTACCTGGGCATAAACCCATGAAAGACCGTCTCACTCTATTGCTTGGTGCCAATGCTTCAGGGGATTTCCGACTGAAGCCTATGCTTGTCTACCACTCTGAAAACCCCAGGGTGTTCAAGCAACAGAAAGTGGTAAGAACAATGCTTGGAGTTTATTGGAAGTCCAACCGTAAGGCATGGGTGACAAGACAGTTCTTTAATGAATGGGCTGTTGATGTGTTTTGCCCCTCTGTCAAGAGCTACCTAACCACCAATAAACTTCCTTTAAAGGCTCTTCTCCTCATGGATAATGCTCCTGGTCATGACCCTGACCTTGCCAGAAATTTGGAGTATAAATTTGACTTTGTGAAAGTGTTGTTTTTGCCTCCAAACACTACATCACTCATACAGCCAATGGACCAGAATGTGATCAGCAACTTCAAGAAGTTGTACATGAAGAAAATGTTTAGGAGGTGTCATCAGGCAACTTCCATTGATCCTGAACTAACACTGAAACAGTTCTGGAAGACACAATTCAACGTCCTGGAGGCTGTAAAATTGATTGTGTCATCATGGCAAGAAGTCTCCAATAGAACCCTCAATTCTTCATGGAAAGCACTGTGGCCATCAGTAGTCCATGATTTTGAGGGATTTGAGGATGACACAGAGTTGGACCAGGAGATTGTGTCCATTGGTCAGTCATTGGGTCTTGAAGTGGAGGAGAAGGATGTGGAAGAGCTTGTGATGTCTCATGAGGAGGAACTTACTCCTAATGACTTGAAGGAACTGGATGAGATGTTACGGGTAGAGGCTGACAGTGGTGAGGAGGAAATTGAAAGTGATGACCATATGTCAGCTAAACAGTTGAAAGATGTGATTTACCACTGGGAGAAGTTCAGGGAACTGGCTTCAAAGCACCCAGAAGTGGAAAAAACTGAACTAACTTTGTGTCATGTTGAGGACTCAGTGGTCTCCTTCTTTAAACATAAGTTAATGGTGAGGAGGACAGATGCCCCACAGACCACAATTGACACTTTCTTCAGTAAAAGGCAGAGGGAACAAGATGCTAGCCCTCAGCCTTCCACTTCAAGAAGGAGAGAGGATGTTCATGGTGGAGAATCTGTCAGTCCAGAGGTTCCTGACATTTTCATGGAAGGTGACTCACCTTCCAAGAAGCAGTAAAATGCTTCTCCTCCACCTCCACTTCCTTCTCTTCTCCCTTCTCCTCCTGCACCTCCCACTTCAAATGCACATCATCACCATCATCCAGGAGCCTTCTACATACACACCTCAAAGTAAGTAAATTTTTCCGCCATTTTTGTTGAAGTTAGGAAATTTTCGGTGAGCTGGAACCAATTACCCAAAAACCCATTGAAACAATGGTTTCGGTTAACGAACGTTTCGGTTAACGAACGACCTTCTGGAACGGATTGAGTTCGTTAACCGAGGGGCCACTGTACTTTATATAGGTTGGCTTGGTAAATTAATATTAGTCACACGCATAAAATTCTTATCATCTATTGTATTAAGTTTAAAATTTTTATTCTCACTATTTATTGAGTTATTTGGTAGATATACTTTAAGTTAAATAAAAAATGTGGCAACTTTCCAGTGGGTCGTCAGCCAGTCGCACGGACTGCGATTGGAGAAATTTACTTTGCATATTTATGGCATTTGATGCAGCTACTGAATTTGAATATTTTAAAACAAACGTGCATGAAAAAATATATACTACTTGGAACTGGGCGCAAGCAAGCCAGCCACACAGCTCCTGAACTTAGCCAGGCAAGACATTAACACCACCAATCCACACCCCTGACAGACAGACATTTATTGAGTTACCTGTATATGCCTGACAGGTATTATAGCTAGCTTCTAAACAAGCAGGGATAGAATAACAGTGGTGGTGATCCACAACCCTTGCATATAGTTGTGTTAGAAGCTCTTTATCCAAAAATTTTCTCCTGGAGGGGTGGAGGGGAGGCAACTGTGCTTAGGACAAGTGAACTGCCCCCCAACCACAGTAAAATGATCGTCTACTGTATATGCTCAGGCTCTCAATTGGCTAGGCCATGTCAATATTGTTATTATTGTCCACTCTGTATCTGTATTTTCCTGTCCAAATAAACTGTTTCAATATCAATATGGTCTTCAACATTTACATTACAGTAATTAAATAAAAAAGACCAAGGAATGCTTTAACTGTTGGGCTTGACTCGTCTACTAATTATGACCAATATTATTTCAACTTTTTGGTCCCCATCTACATTAACAACACTTAAAACCTATTACAAATGAGATCTGAACCCCAATTTTCTGGATTAACTGTATCAAAAGAATATTTTTCTTGTTCATAATTATACAGTACTGTAGATGAATGTCATTATGGTAAGTGAGCATTTTCTTTACAATCTTATTTACATCATTACGACAATGTGCCCAATGTTCCTTCTCTAAGGAAACTATTTCTGAATCGTTCTTAGCCATCCACTTATATACAGTATATAAATACAAAAATCTGACCTCCATAATATGTAAGTTACCCAGTTCACATACATTTTTATTTATTTATTATTTTTTTTTTTTACAGGGATTATCCCACATCAGTGCCTGGGGGTAAAAAATATAGTAGTAGTAGTATTATTATAATAATAATAATAATAATAATAATAATAATAATAATAATAATTCGTTCATAGCAAATAAAATTTATAATAAAAAATAAATAATAATAATAATTATAACAACACTGATGATAATAATATTGATAATACAGTAAAAGTCCAAAAATCCGGATGCCAGAAATCCGGACCACACGAGAAGCCGGACTTTTCGAAAACTCAAACTTAACTTTTTTTTTTTAGCTGGCTTTTGTGTGCATGCGTGAGCGCCACAGCTGCACAGCGACAACAAGCGACCACGCGGTCGCCACTTTAAAACAAGCATTCAAACTGTGACAACGTACCGGGTATGTAATTTTGAGTCCTACTCTTTCCATTTACAGAGTACTGTACAAGCCCATAATAATGGCTCCTAAAGTAGGTAAACTTCGTTTTGTGAAGAGAAAGAAGAACACGTTGAAATTGAGTGACAAACTTGAAATAATTAAGAAACTAGAACGTGGTGTGAGCAATATTGTTCTAATGGAAACATACGACATTGGAAGTCTTCAATTTGATATAAAAAAGGCAAAGAATAAAATTTTAAAATTCACAGCCTTTATCTTTAAAACTGCTCGTTTTGATAAATGAAGCATGCTATATTTGCTAATGAATAAACTATCAAAATGTACCTGTTCGTCTCTTCTTTATTTCTCCTGAAATTTGAATTTTTAAAGTACGGCCTGAGAATCCGGAAAATCCGAAAATCCGGACCGACCCAATCCCCAAGCAGTCCGGATTTTTGGACTTCTACTGTAATAGTAAAGAACCATAAATAAATACGAAAATGAAAAAAAAATGAATAGTGAGAAACAAAGTAAGAGAAACAATTGAGACCCTGCAATTGTGTGTAAATGAGGCAGAAAGTCAGATCAGCAACCTGGGACTTGGTCACAATTTTTGTAATGCCATATGGCATCAGGGTCTACCATTAGACAACACATTATGCTTCCAATATCTTCCCAGGCGGTAGTACCTCCCTGTTTGATGCATATGTTAGAAAGAGAAATGAAGCAATCGTTTTATTTGACCTTTCACTTACTTCCATACAATAGCATTTTCTGATGCCTTATACTTGGCTTTCCCTTTCATGCAGATCAGCTGGACTCCAGATGTGTTGAGAGGAGTAGGAATTCGTACCTGAGGAGCAAAATAATTTGTCAATTTCTCTGCAGCATTTCAACTCAAAACTGTAATATAAAACATTTATTTCAAGCAGCCTCTTGCTTTAGTTTAAAGACCACTCACTGACCCTTATAGAACAGTAAAACCTCAATAAATCAGACTTCAATATATCGGAATTCACTTTTTTCGGACTCTGAGGTGCTCTGGTCACCAGAAATGCAAAAGAAATATAAAAAGTATAGGTTTTAAGAAATGAGGAACATTAATAATAAAAAAAAATAAATCTTATGAAATGAATCACACTTACTGAATACTGTACAGCGGTCTAATCAGATTTGTTATAAGCTTACTGAGAACTAAGAAACTTGAGTACGTAAGCAGGCTGGGGCTGATCAGGTGTTGCCGCATTCGTCAGGTTTACGGTATTTATTTACTGATTCAGTATTATATTCTCCTATGATTGGCCTCTTATGGTTTATGGTTCATCATGATCAATATAACATCTTCAGTAATAGATAAAAAATACAATATTGTATGTAATTTGTAATATGACTTGAAAATAAAAGGATAAGCTGTATCGGAAGGAAATTTACTCAAGATGCATTCGTGTGAGAGCTTTCAGCAGACCAGCTACAACAGGGGTCACTATAACACACTATAGTATTTGATATAAAGATACTTGTACACTTAGACAAATGATTAATGAATAAACCAAGGTATATGTAAATACATAATTATGTACACTACAATATAACTTAAGTGATGATAAATATGCTACAATAGTATTTATTAAGTGATGATATATACACAACTGTACTGTACTAATTTACTTAGTGTTGAAGACAGACACTGGTAAGCCAATCAGCAGTTTGTCCTTTGTAAACAAATGACTCATGGTGTTCAGTGTGGGTTTTTTCCAGGAAAGCTGAAGTTTTTAGAATATTTCATCAACCTGGCACCAAATGACCCTAAATTATATGAGAATTATGGTGAAACAGCATAAAGATGTGATAAAGGGATCTTGGGGGAGAGAGGGGGAGGGAGCCACCCTGCTGCTCCCAGATAAACACTTGTCTTCCACATACAATATACGTCTACATTTATTTGTTCTTATTTTTATCTTTATAGTACTGTACAGTATACAGCTTTCTCTTTATTTATAAGACAAATTCTGTGGCTACTTACAACACTTTACAGTAAATAACAATCATCTCGGTGACAACCAGACTTAAGTGTGATTTTCAACCCAGAGAGATTGGTTTCATAATTTTTTATTGTTGATGTAATATTATATTAATAACCTTGTTATACACTTATTAGTTGTTGAAGTGCAGTAATAACATAACTGATTTTCTTTAAATAGTTCAGATAAGCAGTGTTGTCTCCCCCCCCCATTATTATATTCTTTTTTTTAGAACTTTTGCATTTTTCAGACTGGGGATCAGTCCCAATTAGCCAGATTTATCGAGGTTCTATTGAACCTGAATAATGCAAATATCATATTATTGAAACCATGCCTAAACTTCATACTTCAGCCATACCCCATAAAATATTACATATTTTTGTCCTGCATGCCCCAACTATCACAAAATGAGAATTCTTGGATAGTAGCATGAACTCACATTTATTGTCAAGGACTAAGAGAACTTTTGTTGATATCCCAGCATGTTAAAAACCTCATGGCAGAGCCCACTAGTGTTGTGGGGCACAATAATTCAATGGCAGAACAGTAAAATCAAACGAACAATACAACTGCCACCAAAGTAGCAATTTGTCCAGTCAACCCAGGAGTCTTTTTAAGATGCTCATTGGTGTGGTAGTTGCCTATAAGACCACTAAAGTATTCGGTCAGGAGTAAGATTCTCAACAGGCACTGCATCTCTGAAAAGACCCCTGAAATAATAGGCCACTTTGTTTTAGCCTTCAGTTCTAGCTGCTCTAAGACTTCATGCTTCCCTGGGATAGCTGCAATAACCTCAAGGCAGATATTCTTGCTGAACATTCTCTTCTAGCCTCTGTCATCAAGTTCTTAACCCTGATGTCATTTCTTACAACTTCAGTTCTCCTTCCATCCACATTAAGACTCGTACATCACTTGACTCAAATGGTCTACCCTATTACCTCCATTTGCCCAAATAATCTCTACCTACCTCTATGGAATACCTTGCTAATATAAACAGTAATATCTCCGTTAGCCGGAATCCCTCAAACCCGGAAATCTCCAATAGCCGGAATCCCTCAAACCCGGAAATCTCCGATAGCCGGAATTGAAATTTGTCGGAAAATCATTCCCAAAGCCGGAATTTTGCAAAAACTTCCAGCTTTAGGAACAAATTTTCCGAGGTTGAAAACCGAGAGAATTTTCTGAAAATGTCTTGAATAAAGACGAAAGTTAAAGTATTTTTGGGGGGATCTGACCTACTCAATGTCAGGTGGAGGTAGGGTGGGGGATTAGTGGTCTCATATTACTGACCTTCTAATGGAATGTCAGGTCACCCTTTCTTGGGTGGGGGATTAGTGGGTCTCATGACCTGAAGCAGGACCGGATTAAGACCCTTAGAGGCCCTAAGCACTTAAAAGATTTTGGTGCCCCCCCCCCACATATATGTAATTCAAAATATAAACAATATTAAACCATAAAATAAAATGTTATTTTTCGAAATTAAACAAAATTTACAGTAAGATGGAAAATAATGTTTATTTTTGTATACGTCCACTTTATTTATAGTTGAAAAGTTTTCTCCTACTTTTTTTAATTGCAGTCTTTGATCAGATCCTCAAAACTAGTCTTATGTAACACATCTGCTTCTATACTTAGTAGAGATAAGACGTCCAGCCTGCCTTGTTGCATAGTTGTTCTGATGGGATTTTTAATATACTTCAACTTAGAAAATGAACGCTCAGCTGAGCAATTTGTGACCATTAATGTTAAAAATATACGAAAGCCAATATCAACATTTGGAAAGGCACTCAATATTGTTCTACAATCATTTTATAAAGTTCAGCATGACTGAATCTTGTTTTACATTTTTGTTGCACTGAACTTATGGCTATTATTATAGTGAAACTGCTGAAGCTCAGCTGAGAAATTAGTGTTGAAATCCTCTGGGTAAGCATCAATCAGCTTTTGACAGCACTGAGAATACCTTTCAATTTCAGTAGATGATGAAGGCATTATGTGGCACATCACTAGAAAGAAAACCCTCTGCTATTTCTTTATATATCTCCCTTCTTTTCTCATCTCAGTTTCAAGTTTGTCAATAATTGTGTAAAAGGTGGTGATACAAAATTTATCTCTGGCATTCAGATATACTTCTGGTGCATCTCCGCTAGGTACCTTCTTTCTGATATGTTTGCGAGTTTGAGCTGCCTTGTAATCAACATCTGGTAGCATATCCTTGTAGCTGCTTCATATCTTCAAATTTATTTCTAGAAGTGCACAGTTGGTCAGCTAATGATCCATACAGATCTGCACATGTTCTTAAGTTCACATCTCATTTTGTAGAACTTGGCTTACTCTATGAAAAATTTTGCAAAATCTCATTCAAAAAATTCAACATAAAAAACGAATTCTAGCTCTTGCACCTTATTTGCAATATTATTTGCTTCTTCTAGTGTCTCCCTTTGTGACTGGTTCGCCATACATTCTAACGCTTAAAATTTTAGGAAAGATTTAAAATTGCTGCTGTTGCCATATACTCGCCACCCATCTGGTACACTTTCATTTCCAATACAACCTTTAAGAATTTTCCACCGGCTGGTTGAGGCTGAAAAAAAAGTATAGAACAACTGCACTGTGGAGAAGAAATTAACAGCCTCTTGACAGCAGTCAACAGCACGCCGCCTACCAGATTTAGTGAATGAGCCGCACAGGGCACATACAGTCAACCCCTTACGCGGTCCCACATTCCGGTTTCCAGTTTACGCGGTTCCCTGCCAGAACCCAGGATGCTCACATTCCGAGGTGGGTGTACCCCTTTACACGGGTGAAGTATAATTTTTTTATTTAGCTCATAAAATTCATACAAATTATCCAGCCAGAATATAATTTACATTGCTGGAATTCTTACAATTTGATGATCATTTTGAATATAAACATCACAGATTTTGCATTAGACATACAAATTTTGGATATAATGTTTACTCTGAGTAAATATGTTATCTTTGTGCAAAATATATGACATTTATATTCAAAATATTCCTGGTCTTACAAGGAATCCAGCAATGTCAATTATATTATCCTAACTTTAGTCTGATTTATTATTTATTACTAAAAAGGTAAACAGTCTGGTATTCCCACACATTTATCTAGTAGGGACGGTTGGTGGGGGACCGCAACGATCACCCTGGCATGTGTGAAGAATATTTTTTTTTTTTTTTTATTATTAACTGAAGATTTTTATTTTAGCTCATAAAATTCATACAAATTACTCCGCCAGAATATGATTTACATTGCTGGAATTTTACAATTTGATGATCATTTTGAATATAAACATCATATATTTTGCATTAGACAAATTTTTAGATATAATGTTTACTCTGAGTAAATATGTTATCTTTTGTGCAAAATATATGACATTTATATTCAAAATATTCCTGGTCTTAAAAGGAATCCAGCAATGTCAATTATATTATCCTAACTTAATCTGAGGTATTATTTAATACTAAATGTTAAAATCTAGTTTTTTCACCCACTTTTTCTCTTGAAGGAGGGTTGGTGGGAGGTGGGGGAGGGTTGGACGGACTGACCATCTGGCTCATTGGAAGAGGGGAGGCAAGGTGGGTACTGATTGACAGATAGTGTCGTGATGAATAATTTTTTTTTATTAACTGAAGATATTTGTTTTAGCTCATAAAATTCATACAAATTACCTGGCCAGAATATAATTTACATTGCTGGAATTTTACAATTTGATGATCATTTTGAATATAAACATCATAGATTTTGCATTAGACATACAAATTTATGTAATGTTTACTCTGAGTAAATATGTTATCTTTTGTGCAAAATATATGACATTTATATTCAAAATATTCCTGATCTTAAAAGGAATCCAGCAATGTCAATTATATTATCTAACTTTAGTTTGAGGTATTATTTATTACTATACCTGGTTTTCCAAAATTTCTCAGAGGGAAGAGCCAGTGAGTGTAGTGAGAAGAGGGAGGGAGTCGAGTCCATTATTTGAATGGACATTAACTTGGCGACTGTATTTCTTTATTTCTCTAAGTATTAATTGTGTGCATGTACCATCATAAAATTAAGATGTTATTTTTACTAGAACATAGGTATTGTGTTGGAAAAAGTGGAGTTGGGGGTCAGCCGGTCTCTATTTCATTTAATCCCATGTTATGTGATTCACTTAGCGTTTCTCACTTTCCATGTACCCTGTGAGTTACATTAACCGCGTAAAGTGAGGGTTGACTGTATATAGCAAACTTGTTTGTTTCTAGAATTTTTTGCTGCATCCCCTTATAACGCCCAGACATGTTTGCAGCGTTGTCGTAAGATTGACCCCCTACATTTTGAAAAGTTTAGCTTACAAACTTCATGTAAGTACTGCAACACCTGATTTGCCATTTCCTCACCGGTATGGCTTTTCATTTCCAGAAAGGTTAAAGCTGTTCATGACCAAGGCGGCCGGGCAAGACAAGAACGTTCACGTGAGCCTCCGTGGACCATGGGGCAGTTACCAGATCCTAATTTTGTTGTGCTGTATCCCCAAGATTAATGTAAATCATTAACTTCTATAATTACTATTATATATATATATATATATATATATATATATATATATATATATATATATATATATATATATATATATATATATATATATATATATATATATATATATATATATATATATATATATATATATATATATATATATATATATATATATATATATATATATATATATATATATATATATATATATATATATATATATATATATTTATATATATATATTTTTTATTTTTTTTTTTTTTTAATGTGTGGCCTTTTGTGAACTCTGGTTCAGCGCTGCACCATTGCAGTTTTGCACCATATGGTCCATGGTAAATCCGGATATGGAAAATTTCTGTGGTGCCCCCTTCCTTGATGCCCTAAGCACGCGTTTATTTGGTTAATGGTTAATCCAGCCTGACCTGAAGATATCTTGAATAAATAAGAAAGGTAAAGTATTTTAGGAAATTGTGATAAGTATAAGTATAAATGAGCAAAGCTATATCCCTTCAACATTACATGACAGAACATTTTAAAATATGGCGTGAGAAAGCAGGAAGGTGTGGGTGATTAGAAAGATGGAGTGGAAAGGAGTGGTAACATGCACCAGTGTTGCCAAGTGATAAGCTCCTCAACAGATGATATTCTAATCTGCTCATGCGGTCACACAAGACCCTCACTGGATGCTTGTTGTCTTAAAGAAAGAGGTGTGTGTGTGTGTGTGTGTGTGTGTGTGTGTGTGTGTGAGGGGTGTGTGTGTGTGTGTGTGTGTGTGTGTGTGTGTGTGTGTATGAGGGGTGTGTGTGTATGAGGGGTGTGTGTGTGTGGGTGTGTGTGTGTGGAGGGTTGTGTGTGTGTGTGAGGGGTGTGTGTGTGTGTGTGTGAGGGGTGTGTGTGTGTATGTGTGTGAGGGGTGTGTGTGTGTGTGTGTGTGTGTGTGTGTGTGTGTGTGTGTGTGTGTGTGTGTGTGTGTGTGTGTGAGGGGTGTGTGTGTGAGGGGTGTGTGTGTGTGAGGGGTGTGTGTGTGAGGGGTGTGTGTGTGAGGTGTGTGTGTGTGAGGGGTGTGTGTGTGTGTGAGGGGTGTGTGTGTGTGTGTGTGGGGGTGTGTGTGGGAGGGGTGTGTGAGGGTGTGTGTGTGTGAGACGTGTGAGACGTGTGTGAGGTGTGTGTGTGTGTGTGGATGTGTGTGTGTGAGGGGTGTGTGTGTGAGGGGTGTGTGGGGGTGTGTGTGGGGGTGTGTGTGTGTGTGTGAGGTGTGTGTGTGTGTGAGGGGTGTGTGTGTGAGGGTGTGTGTGTGTGAGGTGTGTGTGGGTGTGGGTGTGTGTGTGTGTGTGTGTAATATAATAATAATAATAATAATAATAATTAACGGTTTATTGATAAATAGAAAAAATATACAGTTACATATTTGGGGAATGGGTTACGAATTACAAATAATATACAAGTGACATAAGTGACACAAATAAGACATATAGTAACTTAGATGGGGATCAGCTCAAACTAAGTTCATTTAACATAGTGACAGTGTAGGAGCAGTGTTTACTGGGAGTGAATACACTGATTTATTGCATGTTATTGATAATTTTTACAATGGTTGGACTGGGCTGTTCTTATAGCGATCAGTTCGTGCACGTATGGGCTGGATGCGGTTGTGGTGTCCGAACAGCACTCTCGGACAGGGGATCTCAGGTGGTAGTAGGGGCCGGGTGTCGGGGATGGTGTAGAAGCCTACCAAATTTGCAGATGAGGCCGTGGTGATGGTCAGTGAGAGTCGAAAGGGTCAGTGTGTGTGTGTGAGGTGTGTGTGAGGGGTGTGTGTGTGTGTGTGTGTGTGTGTGAGGGGTGTGTGTGTGTGTGAGGGGTGTGTGTGTGTGAGGGTGTGTGTGTGTGTGTGAGGGTGTGTGTGTGTGAGGGGTGTGTGAGGGGTGGGGGAGGGGTGTGTGTGTGTGTGTGAGACGTGTGTGTGTGTGGACGTGTGTGTGTGTGTGTGTGTGAGGCGTGTGTGTGTGTGTGGGAGGTGTGTGTGTGAGGGGTGTGTGTGAGGGGTGTGTGAGGGGTGAACTGAACGAAGCACTGA